CTTCCGCCAGTGCTTTTTAACGATTTATTTTCTAAAATTAGTTAATTATCTAAATGCGTTGTTAGATAGAAGTGGTTCATTGTCATTTTGTCATTGTCTTCTGAGGCTAGCAGAGCTTAGCTCAGATCTGTGAGGTGTGTTCTTCAGATATAATACTTCATATTAATGTTATACAACGTTTACCGCTATAGCATGTGTCATATTCCTCTTCGCAAGCTGTTCCCCCTCGACGAGATGTTTCTACATTTTGTATTATCTGCCCAACGTGTCGGCTAGTGCACGGTTCTGAAAAAAGAAAAGCTTTGAGTATGTTTTCACTTTCTTTCTGGTCCGTCTTATCAGTCCAAGACAATCGTCGGTGAATTCGCCTTATAGTTTTCTAAGAGAGGGCGGTTGTCAGCAACTGCTCGTTTCTGATCCGGCGTACCAGTGCATTTGGCATTGTTCGGAGCTCTCTAAACGAGCTTCATGACGCTTCATGATTCAGGACTGCAGATGTGTCGAGACTGTACATGTGCACCGCGAATGAGGCTGTTTTCAGAATAGTATTCTTCGTGTCAGGTTTTATGGTACAATTCTGCAATGTCGTACAAAGTGCAATAATTCGCCTATGCCACAGAAGTAAATTAGTTCTCTGTATGATCAGTGTCGCCAACATTAGTCAGCAGGCTGTAGCGTAATTGAAATGCTCCTCGTCTGTCGTAATACATTTCCATTGCATCGCTGGCTGTACAGCGTCTTCATAACGATTGTATTGTCAGTTATTTATATATGATGTTTTTGGAATACCTTAATATTACCATGTCAGTCAAACTTTTTGACTGCGAATGGCGATACCACGCTGCCTTTAGAAGCGCCAGCAATTTTTCGTCTCTGATTTTTTTGTGCTGAAGTTTAAGATATCTCTGAGTGTGTTTATCGCTTGTTTAGAGTGCTGACGGCATTGTTTTTTATCCCACATGCTTCTTCCGGTTTTGTATGATCTCTGTGATAATATTGCTACTTATTAATTCTACGGCTATGTCTTCTGAATCATTTTCATTTGTGTCAAGCATGTAATGTGGCTTTCGTTTTACCTTGGTTTCAACCCCTTAGTCGATCTTAATCATGTGAACTCTGGCTTGACAGCCGATGTGCTTTTAAATTTCAAATTCGGGTAAGGTCTTGCAATGCATCCTATCAATCTACATAAAGGAGTTTCTTTCTGTAGTAAAGGAAACAAGTAGACTGCGTGTTACGCTCGCCAAATGAAGTCTTCTTTAAGAAATCACTCTAGGCTAATAGCGTAGAAGCGAGGGCCAATGTCAATACCTTATGCTCGACGAAGAGGAGCTGTCACAAATGCCGTCAATCGCAGAACTATAAGGATCATCATGCCGTCTCTTGGGACTATTCCTGATTTCCCATGTTTGTGTTGCGTTGTTCTTACTCTTCCTTGAGAAGAGGTAGCGATCGCATTTCTGATTTTTATGATGTAGACTACGACGGACCGGCTGTTCCGCTTCCGTTGCTATTCCACTACGCCTCCGCGTGCCGTAAGGCAGTACTCAATTTTTGATAACCGACTTTTCGTTATTTAGTGTCCTTCCCAAAGACTGTGCACCATCGGTGTTCATTGGGATGAAGACAGACTCACCGTTAGGGATGTCTTTTCTGTGTAATAGCATATATAGGGTTGGCTGCAGTTTTGCAGAGCTTTTGTCACAGTGTCCACTCACCATCCATTCTCAACCGGGCTTGAAATCGGCTAAAGGTAAAGTCAGCTGACGTGCTTAGAAGCTTAATTAGAAGCTTTCGCTTTAATTTAGTTTTTATGCAACTATGTTTTTTCATTACATTTCATCTCTTGCAGGTTTGGCAGTGTGGAGGCTCAGTTCTGAATGTTCCCTGTTCCAGGGTCGGTCATGTGTATCGCAGAGCTGTTCCGTACAGTTTCGGTAACGTTAGCGGACCCGTCGTGTCCATAGTATGAATCTGCATAGCCTGTCTGATTGCGTTACATGACCTACATGCCGTTTCAGAATTACAAACGGGTAGCCGAGGTTTGGATGGACGAGTACAAGGAGTACTATTACATACGAGAGCCTTTCATCAGAAAAAGAGATGCCGGTGACCTGACTCAACAGCGAGAACTGCGCCTCAAGAATCGCTGCAAGTCGTTTGACTGGTACATGAAAAACGTTGCTTATGACATGCCTGTGCTTTACCCGAAGTTGCCTCAGAACCTCGTTTGGGGCGAGGTCGTCAATCCCTCTTCTTACCTGTGCATTGACACAATGGGTAAACGTAATTTTGAAACGATTGGCGTTTCTCCATGTCATCATTCAGGCGGAAATCAGGTATAATTTTTTTACTGAACTGTAAGTACTAACTGTACCAACTTTTTTACTGTAACTTTGAATACTGTTTTATGAACTTATAATATATTTAATTTTTCTATTCCAAGTGTGGAAATACTGCACTACGTTTGCACGGATTCTCGTAAATGGCATTTGCTTACTCCGCATACCCAGAAAAATTTAATCTTTTGAATTTTTTGTTAAGATACAGCGGTGTTCATTTGTATGAATATGTCCGAAAAACTTATTGATTCGTATTCATACCTGCCATCTCTTTTATAATTGCAAAGGCTTCTAAATTCTTTTCAAATGATTGCTGTCCTTTACAGACTTGT